GCTTTGTAGTTTTTGAAAACCGGTCTAGTGGCGGCAGAGAAAAATGCAAAAAAAGAAACAATCAAAATCGCTCATACCTCGTTTTTTGATGTGCAGAGGATCCTAATCATTTTTGAAAAAATTATAGAAGTAAATAAATATGTGAGTGGAGGTAGTAGGGGGGTGGGGAGGGTTTATGTCGATCTTTTGATATTAATACGTTTATACGCTCCAGCCTCGGTAATTGTACGCACCTATAAGACTTATTTCACGCATCATAGATTTGTCCGCCTTTAAATTAAATATTTTCAACACACGGATCGCGTACCTACCAACCGCGGCTACTGCTCCCGGCGGCGTGCCTCCGGCCTTGCTGAGTGTTCTGTTGTTCTGGTATGGTATTACACGTATTTCTGCCGCGTCACAGCTTAGTGTTTCCAATGCTCTGACCGCGCTACCACGTGTTAACTATCGAGGAGAGGCGACGCACTACCGGTAGGACAGGGAAACACAAGACAAGTCTGTGGATTGATTGTACAGTTCTTCAGGCAATTTGCTTTTTGTAGGCAGTATGTCTCAAGAAAGGTACTATCGAATAACGTTTTATTTTTTGTAGACCTAGCGTATGTTCATTGAGAGTGATGTTCAATTTCTTTGTGATTTCAAATATATATATATATATAGCTTATCATTATTTTATTGCTTTAGTCAAAAACAATTTTATGTGCCATTTAATCATATGTGAGTGTGTACACGAAACTTTGACGTTCTCTTGTTGCTGATATCGTACGTTTTAGAGACCTAGTACTCTTAGTATGTGTATAGATAATTTCCAAACCGGACAGTTGATAACGTGTACAAAACTATGATGTTGAACAGTAATTAAGTGCCAAAATTGACTGGTAAACTATACATTGCGGAAGTATAGGTATACGCATCTGCTCGGAAAAAATATTCTGATACGTTTTCTTGTATATTATTTTTCAGAACGGCCGCTTTTACCGAATCTGCATGTTGTCAGGAAATAACCTTGTCAAAGACAACAATTTTTATTAAACGAATTCCAAAAATTGGTTTTTTCGCTCCTGACAAAGATTTTGAAGTCGTTATGACAAAAGGTATCTTTCATAAGAATGAAATTCTTTAAGGTTGAAAGCACTCGAGATATAGACGATATCATATACGAAATTGTGTAAAATATTTCATTCTCTACCTCCAGAAACAATATCGAAGACGAAAACTTTAATGTCGTCTAAGTTCCTAAGCTATTCCTCGAACAACAATCAACATAATCATAGCGCATTTCACAGTGCATTGTTATTGGTACTCCTTTGGTTTTGTATTAGTCAGTCGGGCGCCCAATTTATATAATATGCATTGAAATGCGCACTTTATTGATAATAAAAAATAAAGATTTACAATAACATTACTCCATAAAATGCTTTGAGAATTTTCCAATGGATGTATGAGGAACACTCAGGAACTTTAGCACCATTCAAATTTTCGTTGATATGTATTTTTTCCGGATATGGCATACTTTGCATTTTTTTAATCAAAACGACACTCAAATTCTACAGGAAACCTTTTCTGAAGTGAAGAAATATAATTTTTGAGGAAGACATTAAAAAACTTTTAACGTAATTTTGGGCACAGCAACATGCAGATTGGTTAAAAGGTGTCCTCTATGAATAAGATTATGCAAAAGAAAACAAACAGTATCAAAACACGAGCTGATGCAAAGATATATTTATTAGAACCTGGACCAATACTTTTAATCGTATTAGAAGTAATGTGTGCATCTGTGACATACATGACGTTGCGTGGACTCACTGAAACAGTTGGTACTGTGAAGGCATCATATTCGATTGATGAACGAAGCACGTCGGATCCTTCATATCAAATATCCTACCTTTGACATTCCTGTAGTCTATAAAAATCGGCACTTTGTAAGCTGAATGCGGAACGTATAACTATGTAAGAAGAAGCAAACAAATGATGCTTAGTAATGAGCAAAGTAGATTAGGTTTCGGGTTTTTTTGTTGTATTGTTGTGTGGTTTTGGCGGAGCTACAAACTAAGAGAGAAGCAAAAATCGTTAAAACATCATGCATCAAGTTGCAGAGCTTCCTACTTCTTTTCGGGTATTTTTTGAAGTGATTGAGAATTGTGGGTTGGGAGAGATAGGGGTTGAATGGTTGTAAATTGTTGTATCTCTGATGTTAGTGAAAGATCTTATATTGCTGAGAAGCTGCTGATGCCGATATTACTACGCATCTGTTATATATGTTAATTACCTGGAAGTATGATTTTATTTTATACACTTTGATATACAGAGATTTAAGATATTTCGCACTTAAGTGAACATACCTTGAAAGCATTGAAACTATAGATTCAATCTACTCGACTCCATTTTTCTTTCAATCAATAAGTGATAGCGTACTAACGCCTTATGTGTAATAAATTCCAGAACCGAATTCCGTTGTCTTTTGTGAAATTTGTCAAATGAAACTCGGTGTAACTTAAGACATACATATTTTACACAAAAAATGAGAATAAACGACATAAATAAGCAGAAAAAGATGCTTTGTACCTCACCTTTTCGAATATATTTTTCAAGATGTTAGTTCTATACAGGGTGTTTCAGTTTATTGTTGCATAACTTTAAGATTCGATAGAACTTTTAAAATTAGTGCATAAAGCCTATATAAATATGGGTCGAAAACTGCGTGGCTTCCGAAATACAGGGTGTTTAAATTTACTTTCTAAAATAGTTTTTTATTAAATATTTCAAATAATATTTGATGTATAACAGTGAAAATTGGTATACAAGGGTTTTTTGGTACGACAAAACGAACCATGGGCATAGTTTTACTGTAGCCGCTAGAGGGCGCTCTCTACTGTACCTGTAGTGTATTAAAATGACCGAAAAATTTTTCTTACTGCAGTTTTTTGCTTTTTGAATAAAAAAACGAATTCTTCGCACTTTTCAATATAAAAAAGCTTTCTTGTGAATTTTCGTTATAGATAGCCGTTTTTGAGATATTTCGATTTTTAAGGTAAGATGCATTTTTAATTATTCATGACAAAATAACGTTAAAAAGTCAGTATCTCGATAATTTTTAGAAGTAGGCTGTGCCTGCAAATATTTTTGAAATTGAATGCAGAATAAGGTTAAACGTCAATTAGTTGACAGTTAGTTTTGTGGTTGTGAATGCATGAAATTTAGCTTCTTTTACCTGTTTTTTTTTTGTAAGTTTTATAAAAATGCCATTTTTATTCTCCAATCAAGAGTTAGCGGATATTCATTTTGTGTATGGCTTTGTAAATGGAAACGCAGCAGAAGCAGCCAGAGAATACGCACGAAGATTTCCAAACAGACGACATCCAACTCGCTCAGTATTTGTAAGAGTGCATCGCCAAGTAATTGAAAATGGTTTCGGAAATCTCCAAAGGGATCAAAACATAAATGTTCGTCAGCGCAGATTTACCCGTATGATGCTACGTGAGTTTGATAGAGATCCGACCACAAGTGGTAGGAGAGTTTCTGGTGCCTTGGGAATTTCAGCAAGCCATGTTCACCGTGTTCTTAGAAATGACCACAGACCATTTGCAACCTGTGCAAGGACTACAGCCAGGGGACGGAGAACGAAGAGTCACATTTTGTCAGTGGATTCTTGATAGAACTGATAATAATAGGGAGTTTTTAAGTAACGTTTTATGGACCGATGAGTCATGCTTCACTAGACGTGGAGTGGTAAATTTTCATAATCAACAAATTTGGTCGCATGAAAATCTGCATGCAGTTCGGGAAAGAAATTTTCAGCATGAATTTAGTGTGAACGTGTGGATTGGTATCTACCGTAATCGACTATTTGGACCTTACATTTTGCCTGCAAGGTTAAATGCTGCGACCTTCTTGGAATTTTTAAAGGCTGAACATGCAAATATGTGGGATGATGTTATGTTAGATTTAAGAAGATTAGCCTGGTTCCAGCTAGAAACTGGCTGGACGAAAATTATCCAGAAAGATGGATCGGCCGTGGAGGACCAGTCGCCTGGCCTCCACGATTCCCTGACCTAAATCGATTAGATTTGTGTGTGTGGGGATTTCTCAAAGAAAAAGTGTACCAGACTCCCGTAACCACAAGAGATATGCTAATAGACAGAATCAGGAATGCATGTGATGAAATAAGGCCTTATTTGAATAATGCTATACCACGTTCGATCATTCGTAGATGTGAATTGTGTATTGAAGAATTGGGTTTACATTTCGAGCAACTACTTTAGATTTCGTATGTTTGTCCTAACTATCCAATAGCATTTTAGTTGTAAATAATTAATTTAATTTGTTAAAAATAATATTGGAAAATTAAACAAATTAATATTCTGTTTTTTGTGTTTATTTGGACTTAGGAATTATTGCTGTGTTTAAAAACACAATCTAAACGATCATCTTAATTACTTGTAATGCCCAAATCGAAAATGTAAAAAAAAAATATTATTTTCCCATAAATAATTTAAAATGCATCGAACCTTAAAAATCGAAATATCTCAAAAACGGCTAACTATAACGAAAACTCACGGGAGAGCTTTTTTATGCAGAAAAGTGCGAAGAATCAGTTTTTTATTCAAAAAGCAAAAAATTGCACAAAGAAAAAATTTTCGGTCATTTTAATACACTACAGGTACAGTAGAGAGCGCCCTCTAGCGGCTACAATAAAACTATGTCGTACCAAAAATCCCTTGTATACGAATTTTCACTATTATAAATCAAATATTGTTCTAAATATTTAAAAAAAACTATTTTAGAAAGTAAATTTAAACACCCTGTATTTCGCAAGCCACGCATTTTTCGACCCATGTTTATATAGACTTTGTGCATTAATTTTAAAAGTTCTATCGAATATTAATGTTATGCAACAATAAACTGAAACAGCCTGTATATGCAACCTATTTTTGGAACTGGATACAGGCTATCTGATAGAAGAGAATGGGTTGGCTAATAAAACAGTACAACATCAATGACAGGTACGGTATAGAATTTATTTAATTTATTAGACACATTATATACACAGACGTAATTACCGTATATCTCATAGATGTCAATTGATGCCATGACTTGGCATACCTACATAGAGCATCAGATAACTGTAGACACCGGCAGAATAAGAGCAATTTTGGTCAAGCTGTCATTACCTATTTTGCCACGTTTTTGCACATTTGGTCATATTCTGCGCTGTTCGAATTGCATTTCCAGCCTTTCATTATCTATGAGCTACACGGTATGTCAAAAAAAGGTCAAGACCACTGAGATCCGACTCAGAACTGTCGATTAAACCCGCGCTGGTTCGTCTTTTGGAAAGGTCGAGGTAAAGGTTTGGCGAGCACATCTCTCTGAGGTCTCTGAGCTTCTTCTGGTTCAGGATGAGCGGCAATCCATTCCAGCGCCCTTTGTATCGCTGGTGGAATAGGAGGTGGAGTCGGAAGATGTTCTCCCTGAGGTTGGAAGCCTCCTTCGTTGGCTATGTAGTTCATTGAGATTGGAGTGCCGTCAGGGGCTTGGTACTGGAAGGAACCCTGTACTTCGGCCGCCTCGTTTTCACTACCTGCGTTTTTGATCTGACCTTGCTCTTGGGCTACTATGCCATTGCCTGTCTCCAAACTGGAAATAAAGGAAATAAATGGTTGTTTGAAATATATTTTAGGGGTTTCTCTTGATTGAAAATTTCTTCAATTCTGCAAAGTTTGTCGATATTGTCATAGCGACTGCACTAATGAAATTCTATTCAGAGTTTATGATTGTGTGATCAACAACTGGTGCCCAAACTGTCACCGGTAGACTCAGTCAGCCAGTGGGGTCAGCGGTCGATGCTTGGAACAATACTTTTTATTTCATATACAGTGCTTTTCTTTAGTGCCCCCTCCCCTTTGATGTTTTGAACGGATCAATTCAAAAAATTAAAACATCTTGGAAAAAAAATTATATGAAAACGGGGGTCTGTGGCATATCATTTTGAAGCTCCTGACGAGTACTTTATAACACTTGAATATAACGTTATATACCTATATACTTTTACCTACTACAAAATGGTGGTACATTTAATAATCACCTGAATACATTGACATTTAACTTGATAATTAGAATAGATACGTTGAGTCCAGTTTAGAAGATACTGGAAATTGTTGCCTTGAAATTCTTGACACAATAACAGCCGGTCCGTAATTTCGCGTCGAACATTTTCAAACATAGTAACATCGATATTTCTACAAATATTTGCTATTCTCAGCCGTATATCCAATATTCAAGCAGGTTCAGCTTAGCCCCAAAGAAAAAAGTCTAAAGGTGTCAAATCTGGCGAGCGAGCTGGCCATTCGACAGGACCTCGACGGCTAATCCAACGACTGGTAAAATTGTTATCTAAATAATTCCTAACTTGTCTGTAGCAGTGTGGTGGAGCACCATCTTGCTGAAATACAATATCAGTATCGAATTTGATAGGATTCGCTTCGACGATTTCGGTGATTAGAGGGTCAATAGTATTTTTCAGCATATCCAAATACAGTTCCCCGGTTAAAGTTTGTTGGATGAGTAGAGGCTCCACAATATAATTTCCCAATATCCCAGCCCAAACGTTAATTTTTTGTGAATATCGAGTATGAGTTTCCTGGAAGACGTGAGGATTGGTGTCACTCCAATAAAGACAATTTTGTCTATGCACATTACCGTTAAGAAAAAATGTACATTCACCACTAAAACAAATATTTTGGATATGGGTAGGACGCCGTGCGATGGTTTCCATCATAGTCTCGCAGAGTTCTGTTCTTCGATCAGGGTCATCTTCAGTTAGCTGATGTACCATTTGAACTTTGTATGGGTGTCACTTATACTTTTTTAAAAGTCTCCATACAGGAGAAGGACAAACCTCACATACATTCGTGATGGAGTAAGTAGACTGTTGGGGATTGGCTATGATCTAAGCAACTATTTGAACTTGAACTTCCGGGATGGTCGGATGACTGGGGGCTTTTTGTCTACACTACCAGTAGCTATAAACTTAGATACAAGTTCCCTCAAATGTTTTCCACAGATAGGACGATTCGGGTCACGATCATTAAACATCCTTCCGGGCCCGTGAATGTTACGCGTCGCACCATAAATAAAAATCGCTTCGATTTTTTCTTTGAATGGACGAGAATTGACCATTTTGAAAATAGTTCAAACAGTATCGAGTACTAAAACCGAAAACTAAGTGAGAGTATTTTAACTGTACAATGATGTTTGTTTTCGTACTGATATTCTTGTCACTGTCAACAAAAAATAACAAAACAAGTTTTTATCGCTGTTGCTGTCGACACGGCAGCGAACTACAAATATTTGTAGAGATATGCATGTTAGTGGGTTTGAGTTCAAGTAATTATTAAATATACCACCATTTTGCAGCACGCAAGGGTATCGACTTTATATTCTAGGGTTATAAAGTACTCATCAGGAGCTTCGAAATGATCTGCCACAAGAATTGATCCGTTCAAAAAATCAAAGGGGAGGGGGACTTTAAAGAAAAGAACTGTATAAATACCACTCACGACCAGCTTCAAAATGAGGAATACCTTGCATATTCAAATGACTTATCTTTATTTGTATCGTCTGCAAGTACAAATATACTATCGAATGAATGTTGGGAAGCTTTAAATTTGATTAGTCGCTTTTTTCACTCTCATGTCTTGTAACCACAATGAAACATATATAGTTAAGTTACAATGAAGACAGAGTCAAAGCTCAGATTTGGCTGTTAGCTATTATGGGAAAATGATGGACAACATTTAAAGTGTAAAATTTCTGGGTTTATTATTTGATCAGCACCTACACTGGAATAGACATTGCAATAATTTAATGAAAAAATTGAGCTTGTCGACTTTTTCGATTCGAATATTGGGAACTTCATTTCAGACACCTACTCACGCGCTGAAGCTTCGTCAATTGTCATTTGTTCCTTTGTTTCTACTAATATGTAATGTTTGTCATTATTCCTGCACATTTATTGTCAAAGGGAAATAAAAGAACTATTAGCCGGGATGTCATGAACCAAGAAATTGAATGAATACTAAGTGACATATAAATCCGAACACCCAGTTTAAATGGCTTTATTTTAATAAAATTTTGTATAAGTACTTAATGAAGCATAATAAGTAAATGATAAAAATTTCAAAATGATTGCACTGCCTTAAAGCCCTTTGACCTTTAATAATGTGTGGATGCATCCTGATGTGCTACGCATTCTCTAACGCGCCTAGGCATGCTTCTGATCAGGTGGTCAATGTCCTCCTGTGGTATCTCATTCCAGGCAACCACCAACTCCTCTCGAAGTGCTTCTAGAGTCTGAGGAGGACGTTGCAAATTAAGCAATCTCCTACCCATCATATCCCACACGTGCTCAATTGGGGATAAGTCGGGAGATCTTGGTGGCCATGGTAACAATGTGACATCATTATGTTGAAAAAAGTCCATTGTGACTCTTGCAACATGTGCAAGGGCAGAGCTGGAATGCCGAGGTACCAAAACTGCTCTACAGAAATTGAAGCTAAGAGTGTTGAGCACCATGCAAGAACATTCAAAGCTAAATTTGTATGTTACTGAAAATATGTGTTACAGAATAAGAACTCTGGAAGGACCATCTGACGGAACGAGAATACTGCTGCATCGTGGACGAGAGCTCTGAGGAGCAAAGTCCGTTAGCAAATCCTTGGAAGAAGGCCAGACCCCCGTCTGCCCTTTAATATCGCGTATTTGGGACTGCCTGTCCACAGTGTCGCAGATTAGTCGATGATGCGAATTGTAGTAGCTTGAATCTTACGGAGAATCTGGAGGTTAGATTGCGAGAAACAATTTCCGGTTGTAAGCAAGTTACCCATCGCGTTCACAGCATCTGGTGCGATTAACGAGTCATCTTGGCGCCAGGTGACAGATTTCCAATTTAATTTCAAAATAAGACGAACAGATTCCTAGCAAAACCCGAGCACCTTTCAAAACCAGAGGGGCATTTGTGTGCTTACTATTGATATAGTAGATATTTTCTCTACACAAAGATGCATTCGATCCTCACGCTGACATCGTGGGGTCAAGAGGAAGTCCAATCAATTAGGGCGAATATCGTACGACTTGAGGGAAGCTTTGAATTTAAATATAATGTTCTGTTGTTACGGAGGCTCAAGTGCCGCTTCGTGTTACAGACCTTTCAAGATTCATTAATCTATAGTGTATTTACCCCCAAGATAGAATGGATGCGTGATTGCCAAAAGCAAGGACGGCGTTCAGGGCCGCATTCAGGGCTGCCTCCGAATGATGGACTACCACCGACGTGTTGTAAAACAAAGATGACAGTATTTAACAGAAACAGAAACTTAACAAATTACTCAAATACACTTAACAACAACAACAACAACAACAACCAAGCAAGGTGAATTCGAAAACACGAGCACGCAGTGATACACGCGAGGGTCGGTGGCCTGAATGCAACTCTGCCTGCCCTGCCCCTGCCCCGCGCATTATTCCACTTGAAATTTAATGGCGAATGGACCAATAAGAGGCGTTGTCCCCACCTGTTACCGAGACATCACGCGCTAACTGTTATTATTTACATCTCATCTTGAATTTGGATTCAGTTTAGATATGATGGTGACATCTAGAAAGAAACCTACACCTAATCGACCTTTTATGCATAAGCTTCGTAACTCATAACCTTCTCAACCTACGTGATAAAGCGCTATTATCAGTGAATGCAGAAAAATAACAACACTAACCTCCACTGATACGATCCATCTGCATTAACCCCTTCATTCTCGTACCTCACTATCGGAATCGGCTCACCTTGCTGTTGCGTCAAGGATACCGTCGCCAAGGCAGACAAGACAATAACCTGCAAATCAAAACAAGATTTACATACAACCATTTACTACAATTTATAAATTATACGCTAGCGCGTAAGCTTGAATGAACTGGAGCGATACCGTTCTGTGTGGTACTGTTATAATTTTATATACGAGTTCTCCATTCAATGTCAAACCATGAATGAAGAACAACTGGGCGTGCATAGTAGCTAAGAAATTCATAGATGTGGATGCAAGCAGGCTGCCATGCTGCAAGTTTCTCAGGTTTTGCTAATGCGTGGCAACCAATTACAGTTCTTCTAACGGGTGATTTTTTAAGAGGTATAGGATTTGATTTTCAAAAAAAAAACACAAAAAATTTGAAAAAACGATGAAATCTTTATTTAAGTCGATAGAACGGTCGATATAATTTAATGTTTAAAGATTATTTCATGTAAATGTTGGCCGCGGCTCCGCTTTAGATGGTCCATGCGCAAGGTCCAATTTTGGCACACTCTTTCCAACATATCGGCCGGTATCTCACGAATAAATGCTTCAATATTGGCTTTCAGTGCGCCAATCGTTGCTGGTTTATCCCTGTAAACATTAGCCTTAACATGGCCCCACAAGAAATAGTCCAGCGACGTTAAATCACACGATCTAGGTGGCCAATTGACGGGCCCCAAACGTGAGATAAACTGTTCACCGAACTCGCCTCTCAATAGGGCCATTGTTTCGTGTGCGGTGTGGCATGTGGCACCGTCTTGTTGAAACCAGATGTCAGCCAAGTCCAGATCTTCCATTTTGGGCAAAAAATTCACAGTTCCGTTCCGGCCCTTGTCGTCTTTGAAGAAGTACGGCCCGATGATTCCACCGGCCCATAATCCACAACAAACAGTGATTTTTTCGGGATGCATTGGTAGCTCTTGCAATGCTTCTGGCTGGTCTTCACTCCAGATGCGGCAATTTTGCTCGTTAACGTACCCATTCAACCAGAAATGAGCTTCGTCGCTGAACACAATTATTCGATAAAAATGTGGATCCTCCTCCAACTTTGCCAGCGCCCATTCACCAAATTGGAAACGTTGTGGGAGGTACTGTGGCTTCAATTCTTGCACCAGCTGTATCTTATAAGGTTTTACACCCAAATCCTGTCGCAACATTTTCCACGTAGTGGAGTAACAGAGGCCCAATTGCTGCGAACGGCGGCGAATCGACATTTCACGGTCATCACTAACACTGGCGGATACAGCCGCAATATTTTCTTCAGTCCTCACTCTACGTCTGCATGTTGGTGGTTTAATGTCCAGTAATGTAAACTTGGTTCGAAATTTGGTCACAAGCTTCCGAATAGCTCCCTCAGTAGGCCGACCAAATTGCCCATAAATTGGAAGCAGTGCTCGATGCACTCTCTTAACCGAGCATGAATTTTGATAGTAAAACTCAATAATTTGCAAGCGTTGTTTGTTCGTAAGTCGATTCATGGTTAAATTATAGACCAAACTAAACAAGTTTGACAATGATACAAGACTCGATTCACGCGTCAGCTGTCAAAAACAGTGTTGCCAAAAAGATACTAGCAAAAAAATCACCCATTACATACTCGGTCAGCCTTTTGCGTCGCCAAATCTTGGATGCTTCATTTAAACGACAGCAAACATCAAAATGATCCAATTTTTCGATATGTCTCAAATATCTAATTCCCAGTCTTTTGACAAAAATGTTATTGAATAAAGTTGATGTAGATAACAGAGATAAACCAATCATCAAAACACTAACTATTCGTCATTATTCGTCAGAACGGTCCGGTGGACCTTTGCTTTTAGTTAAAAGTCTCGTCGGGCTGTTAGTCTGTCAGGCCTGGTTACTCAGATATCAAACATGTTTAAGGGGAAAAGAGAAAGAAGGAAAGAAAGGAAAGAAGAAATAGAGCAAAGAGAAAATAGCTTAAGCATTATTGCTTTGACTACTCGAAAAGCTAATTGTGATCGGTTTTGTATACTGAAATAATTTTGGCTGGTCTGAATTTACAATTTAATTTTGATCACAGTGCGAGGCGCGGCCTGGAATGTTTGCGAACTTTCACGACTGTATAGTCTACTGAATCACGCGACAGAGGGTTTCTGTGCGATTCCGCTTGATTATAACGCCGCTGCGAATGTTGTTTTATGTAATTCGTTAGATATGGGATATCAAGATCTCTGTGAATGGTCCCATTTGACACGTACGAAGGGGCGTTAGTGATTGTGCGTAGGGTTCTGTTTTACAGGACTTGCAGTCTCTGGAGGTGCGTCTTGGCAAGAAAACACCAAGCCGCGCATGCGTAGATGATTGCGGTTCTTATGACCATTTTGTACAACCGAATCTTGTTGATCAAACTTAATTTTGAATTGATAAAGCTGCCGAAAGATAATTTGGAATTTTGTTTTCAAAATATCAGTATGTTTCTGCCAGGTCAACCCCTTGTCAATGATGACTCCAAGATACCTGACAGATTGCTCCCATGGTATGCGAGTTCGATTCACTGATATCTCTGAGGAGGTACCGCGAGGTTTTTTAGTACAATAGATTGCCTGCGTTTTCGAAGTATTAATTTTGATCATTCCACTCCATTACTTCCTCCTCCACCGCACTCTGCAGCCTGTCGTGAACCAAGTTACCAGAACAAGACTGGGCTAGCAATGCAGTGTCGTCAGCATAGAGATAGACTTCACAGTTGCTGGGGCAAATGACGTCATGTAGATAAATTGAATGAAGGATTGGCCCTAAGACCGAACCCTCAGGAACACCGGCTCTTACGGGCCGTGTTGTTGATAAAACATTGTTAATTTTGATCCGAAACCTCCTTCCTTCTAGAAAAGATTTTAACAGTTTTAGTAGCCAAAATGGAAAACCCTTTTGGATGAGCTCATACAAGAGGCCCATGTGCCACACCTTGTCAAATGCCTTTGATGCATCTAAAAGCAAGATACCAGTACTTTTGTTCTGGGTGAACCCCCTAGTTACTTGCTCCACCAGTCTAAATGCCTGTAGCTCCGTACTATGCTCAGATCGAAAGCCGAATTGCACGTCAGCAATCACATGGTGATCTGACGAGAAATCCTCAAGGTGACGATGAATCACCTTTTCAGCGAGCTTAGAAGGAGTTGACAGCAAACTAATGGGACGGTAATCCTGGGGGAATATCAAACCTGCGTACTTTGAGATCATGATGACTTCGGCGACTTTCCACGCCTTAGGAAAGTAACGAGTTCTGATCATTGCATTGATTATTGCCACCAGTTAACCCAAAGCCTTGAGCGAAAGCAACTTCAGTCCTTTGTTGGTGATTTGATCCTCTCCAGGTGCTTTACGCACCTTTAGGCCCTTAATGTGGCCTTGGAGCTCTGCTAGTGTGCAACACGGAATCTCAGACGATTCCGTTGATGTGCTATGCTGAGATTCATCTGAAGAGCCTTCCGTAGAAGGATCTTTTGAAAAATAGTCACCGATGTTAGCACCGATGTTGGTATCGCCATTTGCTCTGAAATTTCTCTTGACAGATCTTGCAATTTGTAGTTCCTCGTCAAGATCATTATCCAGATGATAATTGGGAGAAAACTGCCTTTCCATGACGTCAGCAAAAACTTCCACTTTATCCTCAGTCCTGAAAACTATGCCTTCAAAACCATGAATATGTGGTAGTTGTTCTTGCCTTCCGTTTCTGAGCGATTTTGCTACTTTCCAGAGAGGAATACTTGATTCAAGCATCCCCGCCAGAAAGCCGCTCCACTGCTCATTGCGGAATTCATGGAGTGCATTTCTCACTTCATGGACGAGATTCGTCGCTCTACGAATGTCATCAGGATGAATCGAAACATTACAACACTTGTAACTGTATTTATGTTTTTCAAATCAAGCCAGCAACGAATGAAGCGTCGTTGACGGCAGATGTAGGTAGGCTTCGATTAAGCCCAGTTCAGGAACATCTGTCTGGTTCGAGCCAACATGCAGCACATTTGCTTCGATATAATGTTAATAATAGTAACCTTGGATTTATTAGGGCAAAATTTAGCTAATGGCTACTCTTACATTTAAACCTGTTAAAAGAGTAGACTATACAGGAATTTATAAATCAAACCGTGAAACTAGCCTATATCACTCTGTTAGTAGCAGAAGCAATAATAGTATTGTGTATTTTTATATCTCATTATTCACCTGATTATATAATGTCGTTATGTGACAAAGATAGTTGGAATAGTGTTGAAATGGTGACGAGGTATACTTAAATTTTCCCCGCGTCTTGAATTTCGAGAGTTTATGTTTCTGCTAAGCACAAGTTTTTCAAATAAGTAAGATGGTGCGGAAGTCGCTATTAATTTATGTACCAAAAGAGAGGTAGTGGTGTAATTTTATAGTTTTTTCCAAATTCAGCCAACCAATGTTTTTCAACTTTGTTGATATATGATCATATTTTCTTAGTCCATAAATGAATCGATAGCAAGGACTCTGCACTTACTGTTGACATATCTTTGTCCAATTGTCCAGGCATCTGAAATATAAGATGTCACAGTGTAATGTATTGTGAGCATGCCTAATGATTCGGATAAGATTTCTTAACATCAGTACTAAGAACGTGGTTGTTCGCATATAAAATTTTTATAGTGCTTTGTATAATACTGCTAATATGATTATGGAATCTCAAGTTATTATCTAACGTTCGACCCAGAAATTTCAACTTATCTGTTGGAAAGGTCGCATGATGTATCAAGTGAAAAGTGTGATTTTCTTCCCATGCTTAAGTTCACTTCTCATTTCGATGGCTCATTGTTCATTTATATGGATATCAAAAAGTGCTCAAAATGGGCAGAATATATATTGTTGACGATGTATGAGCTACGCCGTATCCTTAGCGTTTCTTATAGTAAATAAAATTGTCCCAGAAAACGTGGTTAGAAATTAGTCGGCTGTCACCAAGTGTCATTACTTGACCCTGTAATAATTTTGGCGTTCTAGAAATAAAGTTTTACAGTATTCCATAGTATCTGTCAAATACATTCCATTACTCTGTACGGTACTACCATCGACTAGTATTACATTACCAAACGCACCCCTGCAATTCGCGAATATTATGTTAGGTAGTAAACAAAGTACAGATTATAGACGACATTCTCCAAAGAAGTGTGGATACATGGATTAAGAAAGAATCTCAGACGAATTAGAGTGTGTTTGACCCCAAATGCAACAGCTCTACCATAAATAGTTGGGCATTCTATGCTATGTCAGTGATATTTTAATAAAAGATGTGAAATGATTTCATGCACTACAGTTCTGTCGTTTGCTGGATATGCTCATTGACATTAAATTAATATTGATCGTGGTCGGTAACGGAGTATTTTTTGGCAGAGATAAATGTTGATGATATGAGACACGTATTATCCACTATTTTTGAACAATCCACTCTTTCAAAAACCAAAACCTCCGCACATTGTACTTCACAGTTCACTCCTTCCACAAAACAACCCTTGATTATTTTCCACAGTCACCGTTGTATCAACCTACCGTGTTCATCATTGTGACGATTTTGAAACAAACTAACCCTGTGCCAAATTGCTCACATTATATTTAACCGGCCATCCCTACTCACGTCAAACATTGTTCTTCTTCGCAGATGCTCGTAAGATTGACAATAAAAATTACACTCATGAACACATGAACTTTACGTGCTTGGTGATGAAACTGGGATCGATTCAGAAGAAGAGACATAGTCATTGCAATAGTCTGGTTAACCTAGATACTACATTATAAATAACATTAAATCTCAATGAGAACGAAAACATAGCCAAATCCTCCAGAATACCTATATAAAAATACAATAATGAGAATTTGATATACAGAGATATAATAACTTATACAGGGTGTTTCAGAACTAGGGGATCAAACACTTCTAGGGATTCTTCAGTGTAAGAGTAGGAAACATTTGAGTATAGGGACCCATATCCGGAAAAGTGTCACTACGGCACTACGGCCCTAAGACGTATAGCTAATCCTACTTTGAGTCGAAAGGTTTGTATTACTTTTTTTGTTCAAACTGAAGATAGCGCGCTATGTAGTGTATCTTAGCGTCCAAAAATACATCTCAGATTAAATGAGATACCGTAGCGTCATCTAAGAGATTTTGTCATAGCTATGTTTCTCATCTAACTAGAAATTAATCTACCTTGAGAAGGTTAGTGTCTAACTAAAAGGGCTAATGGCACCAGAACAGAAACTCTTTTTTGAGAAGGAATGGTCACACTTAGCTATACGTTACTGTTCTAAGTTAACTCCTATAACGACTAATATTAGAACAATATTTATCACCTTTTCCTAGGCGGTCTGTTTCCTTTATTGATGACGAAAAGCACAAGATTGTAACCTCGAAAAGCCACCAAACATACGCCGTATCGTTTGACACAAGTGGATCTTGCATCTTTCCATCCTAATTCGAAAGGTCACTCCACTGAAATAGCTTAAGGCGAGTCGTCTGAAGGTTAAAATTTTTTGCTATATGTCAAGTACCCTGCTACTTAACTTGATCTCTGGACGCAATGGAGGGTCGAGTAATGAGAAAGTATAGGCTGGCTGCCAGTAGAGATAAAATATTACTGTGAACTGATTACCATAGAGAACTGGGAAAAACAAGTGTAGATATGATGATAAGGCTTAACAGACGTCAGATGCATTCGTTGAATGGGCTCTCAATATTGACCAATCTTTTGGTTGCCATTATTACTGACAACTACTGACTGAGATACGTGTGTCAAACCTTTCGGTTTCCTATCAATAAGCTATTTCCTTATTCTGCTGCGTATGCGACATTTTCGGGCTGTACTGAGGCTACGGATGGATTTTTGTTTGTGGAACTAAAGTATCCTAGTAACACGTGAAGATCAACTTTCTATAAAAAGTAATTCAGAAGCTTCGCGGTATACATCTAAATTTCTAGACAGGATACTAACAAAATACCTACTACTACTAATTTGATAGCACACAAAACTGACATACTAGCATTCTGAATCCTAACACACTATACAAGAGTGTTACAACAGTACTCATGTATAAATTTCATCAACTCAAATATTGGCTTGTTAACCTGACCTGCTCGAAAAATGGGTAGGCCGAACCCTTTTGACAAGCACCATATGTAACTCTGACCTCTACCTTAGTTTTGTTGGTACCTACAAGATATAAAATTTATAAATACCTGATACAAAAATGGCAGCACTATACAGGGTGTTTCAGTTTATTGTTGCATAACTTTAAGATTCGATAGAACTTTTAAATTTAATTCATAAAGTCTATATAAACATGGGTCGAAAAATGCGTGGCTTCCGAAATACAGAGTGTTTAAATTTACTTTCTAAAATAGTTTTTTAAATATTTCGAACAATATTTGATGTATAACAGTATAAATTGGTATACAAGGGTTTTTTGGAACGATAAATCGAACCATATTTTTACTGTAGCCGCTAGAAGGCGCTCTTTACTGTACCTGTAGTGTATTAATATGACCGAAAATTTTTTCTTAGTGCAATTTTTTACTTTTTGAATGAAAAAAATTATTCTTCGCACTTTTCAACATAAAAAATCTCTCCTGTGAGTTTTCGTTATATAGTTAGCCGTTTTTGAGATATTTCGATTGTTAAGGTTCGATGCATTTTTAATTATTTATGGGAAAATAATATTTTTTTATACATTTTCGATTTGGACATTACAAGTAATTAAGATTGTGTTTTTAAACACAGCAATAATTCCTAACTCCAAATAAACATAAAAAAAAGAATATTAATTTGTTTAATTCTCCAATATTATTTTTAACAAATTAAATTAATTATTTACAACTAAAATGCTATTGGATAGTTAGGACAAACATACAAAATCTAAAGTAGTTGCTCGAAATATAAACCCAATTGTTCAATACACAATTCACATCTACGAATGATGGAACGTGGTATAGCATTATTCAAATAAGGCCTTATTTCATCACATGCATTCCTGATTCTGTCTATTAGCATTTCTCTTGTGGTTACACTTTTTCTTTTAGAAATCCCCACACAAAGAAATCTAATGCATTTAGGTCAGGGGATCGTGGAGGCCAGGCGACTGATCCTCCACGGCCGATCCATCTATCTGGATAATTTTTGTCCAGCCAGTTTCTAACTATTCTCGAATAATGAGCTGGACAACCATCAAGCTGGAACCAGGCCAATCTTCTTAAATCTAACATAACATCATCCCACATATTTGCATGTTCAGCCTTTAACAATTCCAAGAATGTCGCAGCATTTAACCTTGCAGGCAAAAGGTAGGGTCCAAATAGTCGATTACGGTAGATACCAATCCACACGTTCACACTAAATTCATGCTGAAAATTTCTTTCCCGAACTGCATGCGGATTTTCATGCGACCAAATATGTTGATTATGAAAATTTACCACTCCACGTCTAGTGAAGCATGACTCATCGGTCCATTAAACGTTACTTAAAAACTCCCTATTATTATCAGTTCTATCAAGAATCCACTGACAAAATGTGATTCTTCGTTCTCCGTCCCCTGGCTGTAGTCCTTGCACAGGTTGCAAATGGTAAGGACGTCTATGGTCATTTCTAAGAACACGGTGAACATGGCTTGCTGAAATTCCCAAGGCACCAGCAACTCTCCTAACACTTGTGGTCGGATCTCTATCAAACTCACGCAGAATCATACGGGTAAATCTGCGCTGACGAACATTTATGTTTTGATCCCTTTGGAGATTTCCAAAACCATTTTCAATTATTTGGCGACGCACTCTTACAAATACTGAGCGAGTTGGATGTCGTCTGTTTGGAAATCTTCGTGTGTATTCTCTGGCTGCTTCTGCTGCGTTTCCATCTAAAAAACTCTGGATTGGAGAAAAAAAATGGCATTTTTATAAAACTTACAAAAAAAACAGGTAAAAGAAACTAAATTTCGTGAATTCACAATTGCAAAAAAGCGTTTCTGGTTTTAACGGACAACAAAACTAACTGTCAACTAATTGACGTTTAACCTTATTCTGCTTTCAATTTCAAAAATATTTGCAGGCACAGCCTACTTCTAAAAATTATCGAGATACTGACTTTTTAACGTTATTTTATGATAAATAATTAAAAATGCATCGAACCTTATAAATTGAAATATCTCAAAAACCGCTAACTATAACGAAAATTCACAAGAGAGCTTTTTTATGTTCAAAAGTGCGCAGAATCAGTTTTTTCGTTCAGAAAGCAAAAAATTGGACTAGTTTTTCGGTCATTTTAATATACTACAGGTACAGTAGAGAGCGTCCTCTAGCGGCTACAGTAAAACTATGCCCATGGTTCGTTTCGTGGTACCAAAAAACCCTTGTATACCAATTTTCACTGTTATACATCAAATATTGTTCGAAATATTTAAAAACAACTATTTTAGAAAGTAAATCCAATCACCCTGTATTTCGGAAGCCACGCATTTTTTGACCTATTTTTATATAGACTTTATGCATTAATTTTAAAAGTTCTATCGAATCTTAAAGTTATGCAACAATAAACTGAAACACCCTGTATAATATCCGTAGATACGGTGTAAACGACCATAGAACAGCATTTAGGCACATAACTAAGGTACTCTGTGTCTATCTAGGCGAATTCGAATTGATGAGTCAAGCATGTTTGTCGCTAAAACAGCGTAGGCTTAGTGCCTTGGACTCATTTGTCTACCAATACCGGTGAAAACTTCTACCTTCATTAGGCATGTGCCGGTCTTTGCAAATTAAGTAAGAAGTACAATGTCCTTCCTGAAATCGTCTATCAGCACAATTATCTGCAAACTTTCTGAAAAACCAACACTAAACACACGAATTCAATGAACGACTATGAGAATTTGGGACAAACAAATCATAGACTGGCTGCCCCTTCCCAGACTGAATTCGTTGATCAGAAACGATGAACCGACCATTCTTCAATTGCTCGATTCTCCAAAAAACTGCGTTTTAATTCACATATGCTCAGACTTTCGGTTCAAAGAAATTTTGATGCGAAGCTCAGGCAGATACAACAAATAATTTATGAAGATTGAAAAATGTTGCCAGATTTTGTCTCTCTATCACACGTACCGCAGCTATATTTTCAATCGAGGACATGAGGAACATAGCAACGATGAAAGTTTGCTTGACATTCAAATAATATTGCACAATACCCTACGAAGTTGTATACTCATGGGTAGGCACCTTGTACAAAACCTTGTAATTCAGCTCAGAAGGTGACTCTACTCTGGCTGTCCTGTAATGACTGTACTATTACTTATTAGTGATAGATGTGCAAGCTTTCTTTGAGAATTAGAGGCGCCGCCGCACCGCATTGGCATTTTGGACTGCTACCAGAGAACAGAACATGCTACCATGTCACGCTTCATGTCGGCGGCTCGACCCGTGATTGCGTTGGCGGCGATATGCAGATTTTAGTAGAGCTTTCTGGTAAGATTTTGGGTATAAACTGACTGCTGTTAACTTTCCCTGTTTCGTAAGTTCTAACTTTTTGTAGTGGGCAACACCCCATAGATTACTTTTTGTTTGACAAATCATAATTGCTGTATATATACTAAGTGACATATAAATCCGA